TGAAAAATCAGAACATAGCCTACTTTGTGGCAATGATCGTTGACACGTCGCTATTGCTACCGAGAGCAACGGCGCGGTATTTTTCATCGTTTCCAGCGAAAACCTCGTCTATTTCAGACGCGCGCATCAGCATGATATTGGTCGACAATGTACTCTGACTGAAACCTGAAAATACCTCATTAAACAAACAGCAGATAATTAATACGTTTCAAACATCAAAGGGAAATCTGTTTTTACATGCAAATTTATGTCAAACCTCATGTTCAACAAGGTATAATACTACTTTAATTAAACAAAACCGCTATCGTTAATCACGTATGGTCATCATCAGGGCGATTTCGCCAACTTATCGTGATGTTCAGTCAGAATATACTGATTTATATAACCACTAATTTTCATGGAATAGTTTCCATCCATAACAATGTGACGCAACCACAGCCAGAAATTCACACAGAAGAACATCATCTACATAGACGAATAGTATTAAGCACCAGCTCTTGTTGGTGTCTGTTGTTCTGTCTGGTTAGCTGTTTAACTGTCCGTTCACAAGCATAACTCTCAATTTACACCTGTATATGAAACTATACCTATAAACAAGTATAATTGTTGTTTGATAATTTGCATGTCTAAAAGACAACCCATCTATCTGTCCGCCAATTTACATACACCTCTCAGTTTCAGGTTAAGAGCCACGTCGAAAAGGCAAAGTAAGTACACAGAAGAATTTATACAGTAAACCTACGAATATAAAAAAGTTGTGCAATTTACACATTATAAACAAAACAAAAAACCAGCACAAGTACCGATCTGCTGCATTTTCTTCTTTTCGTCTTGAGTAGCAGTTCTTCGCCATAACTGTGGGTATTTTTTGTACAGCGCTCCACGGAAAAGCTTCAAATAGTTTCCGACCTGTAAAATAACGAAAGTTCAAAATCTGCCAGGATACTGCAAAAAGAAATTTAAAGTTTAAAATACAAAACCTGTTAATAGCATAACGACTATGTTAACTGTGTATAACATGTGTGAAAGTATCTGAGTACAGAATATTTATAATTTAACATGTTTTCCGTCTTCCAAACATCGATATCGCATAAACATAAAAGCGTTTTTTCCTAAGTCGGAACATGTCAGATAACACATAACTTCCCAAGACTAGATTTCAAAGAGTATTGAGCCGTTCCACGCTCCGCGTTACTCAGGGAGCCCGTAACAGAGAAAGTCGCAATATAATACTGAAAAAGATAACTCGTACATTGCGAAAATGGTACTCTTAGGCGCAGCCAGTCAAACCAAAGGGAAGTTTCACCAAAGCGTGAAATGATAATATCACAAATCACAGTAAGGCGAAACGAACTCCCGGCAGTGAGACGAGACATGAAAAAAGAAAAATAACTTGTAAGATGAGTGTTGTGTATTAAACGCACAAGCTTTAAAATAGCTGAATTTCAGTATCAATAAACTGTATGACAATAAATATTGAATTTAGTAGACGTAACGCATAGCTCTCAAAATATCGGATATCTGGTTTTCGATGAATTATGCGTTACCTTCGAAGAATGATGCGCGTAAGCAGAGAAATAGATGTGTAAAAACTACAGGAAAGAGTAAAAAGATGATCTTGTTATGGTCGAAAACAAGCTAGAATTTTACATAAGGCAATAACATTGAGCATGCTTATAAGTAATGCCCATTTATGGCTTCGACAGTGATGATTTAGATATTTGATATATGAACAAGACAATGACAGTTTTGCCCAGATGCGCTCTGTTGTCAAACCCACGTGAGGCAATGAATCAGGCAGCTTACTTAGGCAAAAGATCTAGAACTGTTGCACCTCAGAATCCAGGCCATGGCGCTAAGCCACTTCATGACTAAAGCCACTGGAGAAGCTTCACAGTGGTTCAGTTGTCCACATAACCCGAAAGGAACAGCGGGGTTTAAGCATAAATGAATGCACTGCCCTTATATAAAGTTGTCCCAGTGGCCTCTCAAGATTCACAGAATCGGCAGCAGCACCTCGCCCCACGCTTATCCATGCGAAAGCATGGCCAAGGTACGCTTCCTATGGTAAAAATAGAATTTACAGATTTTCCCTTTCACTCCGCCGTTGCCATTCCCAAGCCCGGACAAACAAGAAAGACGGCTGAGGACTGTGAGAAGCCATACCGTAAAACTTAGCGACGTATCGCTCATGGTATTGACATTATCGAACGCCATATTGGCTCGAGAATAGTAGGTATGACCAACGGCCATACAAGCTGTTGGGACCTGAAATATGGTGCACAAATCGACGGTCAGAACCTGTCATTCATCGTCTAGCAGTCGGGGCGTAGCAGAACAATAAGGGCTGCCGAAATCCACGATCGACGAAACGAGGATAAACATAACAATCATTAACGAACTCGCTACCCTGTTTGAACAGAGCAGTGAGACATCGCGATGCCATTATACCACATCAAAAAATGCTTCACAAGAGAACGACACAGCCAATGGAAGTACAGTCGGATACTCGAATATATACTCACTCAGAGGAAAACATGTTGATGAGGCCATGAAGTACCAACTTGACATATTTGGCGTTTTGGCAGAACGTAACCTAGCTGAGAGAATCATGTAAACCGGTCAGCGGAAGAGCCGCAATCCTCCGATTGAAGCTACAACAGGCTAAAATGCTGATTCTGTTACAAGTCTATGTGCCCTACTTTGAGGGGCAATATCGGTCCTTCCTTGTCGAAGTGCAGTGGGCTCTGTACGAAATGATGACTACGAAGCATATCATTCTACTGAGCGATTCCGAAACTTCGATCCCTGGTACAAGCGGTGGAAATGGGCCTTCTGAACGAATCGCTGGTCTCACGCCTCATGATGTTCTCCGAAGTACAGATAACCGAAAGAGCTTTGGTGTACAACCGCTGCTTTCCCACATTGAGAAGTCACAGCTACGCCTGCACAGGCACACACTGTCTTTCAGAAAGAAAGACAAAACATCCACTACTTGCCCAAATGAAAGGCCGAAGACTCCGGGGAAAGCGCATCGAAAGACACTGGTCATCTTCTGATAAAGCTCAATTGCTGGCACGGGATCGGTAATGCTGGATATACCCACCGTTTCATATATCTGACAGCACACCCGCAAAGGATATCGCGATTATCGAAACTAACTAACAGATTTTGATTCGTACGAAGAATATGAGGAGGCATCAGGCGAGTCTATCGAGTTCTAACCAAACGCCAAGTCGTATCGCTATGATAATTTCTGTAATTACCAAAAGATGGCTGCAGCGAGGGAGGCAACATACCGACAGCACATTACACGACATTGTGAATAATAGTTTTTACTGTTTTTACTGCAGTACAAGTTCATACAATTCATACGTCTTTACATCTCAGTCTAAATATTAAACGCAATTCCTCAAGTCTTTTCGCAATAAAGTAAATCAATCTCAATAAAAACGCTTTTTCTTACAATTACCTCAGATCCTATATAATAGCGGTCCCCACCTTCTTCGAGCGCAAACGAATTTGGCTTCTCACCGTAAGTTTTCATCGCCAGTTTTGAAATCTAAATTATATTTAAGACAAATTATTTATTCCGTTGTATAGGGAAAATCCATTACCTTGTGAACAAACACGGCACAAACAAATGATAAATTTCGTATTACTAGACAGAAACAAATGCCAATATACCTTCAAATACGATATCTGTAAAGGCACAATAGACCACTTTTGAAGAATGATCCTCAAGTACAAAAATAATTGTTGCTTTTCAAGGAAACATACCACATTTAAATTTACCTAATCATAGGAAAATATTAATAGGACTTTGAAAAATAATAATATGAACAGAAACTTGAACTAACTACCGGATATGAAAAAGCAATTTAAATAATTAAGTATAATTTTAAAACGTGCCTCGATATATCAAAGATAAGGTAAACACTATGATGACAAGTTACTTCTGCAATTAGTTTGAAGAAAAACTTCAAAAGCAGCGCCAAGTGCCATATAAATATGGGAAACAACTACGGTAACGCGTTATTCATTCTGTATAGCT